GGGACAACTGTACTGATGGCCTATGACTAGGAAAGGAAACAGCAAGGAGGGAGACAACCTGAGCCGTTGACTTTCCACTGTCTAGAGGGCGTAGCCATTTTGATTGTTTACATGTGGCAGCCATTTTGGATATTTAAAGTGACTGGGGGTACAACCATTTTGAATGTTTACAAGCAGTGGCCATCTTGGATATTTAAAGTGACCAAGGGCACAGCCATTTTGAATCTTTACAAGTGGCAGCCATTTTGGATTTTAAAGTGACAGCATTCTCATTCGGATTCCAGGGACCTAAGAATAGGCTCTGTTTGCCAAGGTCAGCAGGGACACACTAGAGGCTAACAACAGGAAAGGAGACAGGTGGCGAGTGTACAAATGCTGTCAACTAGTGAATAGAGGAGGACAGCACAGTACCCTGCTTATGTAGATAACATAAAAACAAAACAAAGAAAACGAAAATCATGGGCAAGTCACTCAAACACATAATTACCAATTAAATATAAACACAAAAATGTCACAATGCCTCAGAGACAACAGAGCATCACAGTCCACACAAAGAAGCAAGATAAAGCAGTAGAAACATGGGACCAGGATACAGACCCAAAACACATCCCTGAGGAATACACAGCATTGGAACTCGCTGATAAGGAATTCAAAGAAATTATATTTAGGTATCGTCAACGAACTGAGAGGCCGATCAAGGAAAACACTGACAAAATTGAGGAAAACAGAGAAAACCCTACAACAATTTCAAAAAGACAATATAAAAACAAACTGACAAAATAAAAGAAAAATTAGAAATGATACAAAATCTACACACAGAAATCCAGAAGGTTAATATTAAATTTTCAGAAATAGGTAAGACATTGAACAGGCAAAAGAGTAGAACTGAATCAATGGAAGACAGAATTAGTGAGGTTGAAGGCAAATATCTCAATACTTCTTTGGAAAGGAATCAATCAGAAAAAAGATCAAAACAAAATGAAGAAAGCCTAAGGTTCATGTGGGATACCATCAAAAGGAATAACTTACCTGTAATCAAAATTCCAGAACAGACAGAGACAAATAAAATCGAGAGAAAATTGTCAAAGATTTGTTGGAAGAGAATTTTCCTGGTATGATGAGAGATGAGAATATATCCACTCAGGAAGTCCAATGAACTCCAAACAGGAGAGACCAAAGGAAATCAACAAGACATATAATCATCAAATTCATGAAAACCAAAGACAAGGAAAGAATCCTGAAAGCAGCACAGGAAAAATGAAGTTACCTATAAGGGGCAACCAATAAGACTAAGCTTGGATTTCTCAGCAGAAACCATGCAGGCAAGAAGACAATGGGATGTTATATATATAAAACCCTGAAAGAGAAAATTTCTAACCAAGAATTATGTACCCAGCAAAACTATCCCTCAAATAAGATAGTGAAATAAGGACATTTCTAGATAAGCAGAAATTAAGGAAATTTGTTAAAACCAGACCAACCTTACAAGAGATGCTAAAGGGAGTCCTTTGGACAGAGAAGGAATAACAAGAAATAACAACTGACCATTAACACACACGATGACATAACCCAGAAACCAACACAGCTATGGAAGTATCCAAAGTAAATAAGCCTACAAGATTGTAAACAGGGAACCAGAGACATCAATTGACAAATGAGGACAACTACAAACCAAAAAGAGGGAAAAAAAACTGTGTCATTACAGAACTTCTAGATGGTAGGGGAGTCAAGACAACTACGAAATAGAACGGATTGTTCTAAACTTGGGAAGAAAATTCTAAATCACAGGGTAACCTCAAAGAAAAATGATAAACCTTCACATCAAAATAAAAAAGAGGATTTTTTATTACACACAAATATTTAGCAAATACTAAAACAATGGGAAGGAAGATGGGGCAATCTACTTCCATAGTGATACTGCCTCAGAAATCCAAGGAGGGGTCGCTATGAGTTGGGTCCAACTCGACGGCATATAACAACAACAACACAAAACAACAGCAATGAAGTGATAAAACAATTCATAAACAAAATGAGCTCAGCATAGAAAATTATACGGAACTAAGAAATGGACGATATGAAAAAGCACGTAACAAAAATGACAGCAACAAAGTCATATTTGCTGATAATTACATATCTGGCAAGGGACTTCCGATAATTACATATCTGGCAAGGTACTTATCTCTAAGATTTATAGAAAACTCCAATGTCTCAACAGCAAAGGAATTAACAATCCAATTAAAAATGGGCAGAAGATATGAATAGACACTTCACCAAGGAGGATATTCAGGTGGCCAGCTAATACATGAAGAGATGCTCACAATCAGTGGCCATCAGAGAGATGCAAATCAAAACAACAATGAGATACTGTCTCACCCCAGCACTGACGGCAAGATTCAACAAGACAGAAAATAACAAACCCTGGCGAGAATGTGGAGAGATTGGGACTCTCGTACACTGCTGGTAGGACTGTGAAGTGTTACAACCACTGTGGAAAGCAGTATAGCGATTCCTTAGAAAACTGGAATTAGAGATACCATTTGACCCAGCAATCCCATTACTAGGTATATATCCTAGACAGGTGAGAGCCAGGACAGGAACAGTTTTATGCACACTCATGTTCATCGCAGCACTATTTACAATAGCAAAAAGATGGAAACAACCTACGTGCACATCAGGAGAAGAGTGGATGACCAAACTATATATACACACAATGGAATGCTATGCAGCATTAAAGAATAACGTAGAGTCTGCAAAACCCTTTATAATATGGATGAACTTGGAGGACATTACACTGAGTGTAGTAAGTCAATTACAAAAGGACAAATATAATATTAGTTTGTTGTTGTGGAGGGTCAAGGAAAAGTTTATATATGGAGGGAAACTTTCTTTGTTAGTTGCCATGGGTGGGAGGGAGGGAAGGGAACACTGCGAAAAAAAAAAAAAATCATTGACCCATATCACTTTAGTTTTGTGTATTTCACTGTACATAAATTATATTTCAATAAAATGCATTTAAAAAAGAGAAAGAAATCAGAAATCATATTGCACTAGACAGTTCTGCTACAAAAGAGCTCTCTAGAGTTTTGAAGAGTCAAAATGTCACTTTGAAGACTAAGGTATGCCTAAACCAAGCCATGGTATTTTCAATCCCCTCATATGCATGTGAAGTACGGACAATGAATAAGGAAGATTGAAGAAGAGTTGATGTCTTTAATTGTGGCCTTGGCAAAGAATACTGAAAATACCACAGACTGACAGAGGGACGAACAAGTCTCTTGTGGAAGAAGTGCAGCCAGATAGCTCCCTGGAAGCGAGAATGGCCAGATTTCATCTCACCTACTTTGGTATTATTGTCAGAAAGCACCATTCCCTGGAGAAGGATATCATGCTTGATAAAGTGAGGATCAGCAAAAGAGGGAAAGACACCCCACAAGATGGATTGACACAGTGGCTGCAACGATGGGCTCAAGTATAGAAAAATTGTGAGGATAACACAAGACTGGGCAGTTGAGTTGGAGCACCTAATAACAAGAACAACAAGTAATTTGAACATTATTCAATAATAAAAATGAGTCACTAAAATTTTTGCATAAGGAAGTAACATAATGCAGTGTTTTCGGAAGATCTCTTTAATACAGGTAGTCCCTGGATTATGAATGAGTTCTGTTCCTGTATGTCTTTAAATCTAATTTGTGACTTAAGTCACAACAGTTAGGTATGGTTTGTATCTAAAGTCATTTAGTCAAATGTTTGCCTTAGTGTACAGTATACCTTTCTATGCTTAAAAAACATTAAAGAAACACTTCCAGATATACTAAAATATCTTTGACATAACACAGTAATAATAATTTCAAGATGTGCATCACAAAGCAGCATCCATCAGTTATTATGAAACACTGCATGGACCTCAAAATTTTTATATAATAGGTTTGGGAGGTTGTTGGTTTGTAACCCAGGGACTGCCTGCGGGTAAGAACTACAAGTGTGGAAAATGGAAAAGAGATCATTTAGAAGACTATCAATAAAAGCCAGGTGTATGATAATAAGGTTCTGAATTAGAAACAGCAAATGGCAACAAAAAGAAACCTGCATGAAATGTAAATTTATCATGTCATGTAATTTCCTTTTGGTTGCCATTTGCTGTCCCTAATTTGAAATCTTATCATCATTTATTTGGTTTATACAACAGTCGCCCAAAGCACTATACAAATACTAGTTTTCATTGCCGTGAAAGAACTCATGATATGTAAACCAGATGACAACTACCCAAATGCAGTGTGGTGCTGGGCATCACAGAATCTGTAGAAAGAACACCTCGTTCTCACAGCTGCCGCACAGACCCACAGCAAAGATGAGGCGAATCCAAATTTCCATGTGATCTGGGAAAGCTTTGGTTGTCAATGCAGGTAAGCTCAGCCCAAAGAGCATTTTGTAGACTTAATTAAACTCCATTATTAGGCATTATTCACATCAATTCTGCTCTGGACATCAAATGAGAGATGTTTTGTTCTCTCTTCTCAAACTTATATGAGGGTGTATGTGTGTGTATGAGAGAGAGAGAGAGAGTAACGCGTGTGTTGTGTTCTAAAAGATGGGGGAGGAATTACCCCTTAAAAACTAACGTTTTCTCTCCATTATAGTCTGCCATCAAGTAGGTTCAGCTTTTGGAGAAAACCAGTAACTGGAGATTGCTAGTTAAACAGCAGTTGTTTAACAGTGCTCAGTCTTCTGAATCAGCAATAAGGATGTCAAGTAAACCCTGAGGCATCAAGATGCACTCCTGTTTCTATTCTTCTATTCAACTTCTATATTCTACTCCTGCCTTCTACCTCAAACCAGACATCATAAACCTCTTCAACTTCTGTCTCTTCCTGAATTCAACTGTAATTTTTAAAAACCAAAGACTAATATTTCTAAACCCTATTACAGGAAAACTACTTAGAAAAAAATGTACTTTTGAATCTTCTAGAATTTTTCCTAAAAATATTAGAATAATTTACCTCAAATTTCTTCATCTTTTCCATTGTTATCAAGCGCCTTGATGTGTGACTGGAAAGCTTCTGCTCACAGTTACTAATGAGCTGTAGGCAAGGGTGCCAGGGTATCATCTCTTCAGTGTACCTGATGAAAGAACAGGTGACTGTTACAAACACTCCTAAGTGTACCCCACACAGAATTATCATGGGGGTTACCCAGTGTGGTATGGAACATCCTCCTCCTATTATATTTCATTTAGTGGTGTAGTGCCTCAGGCATCTGACTGCTAACCAGAAGGCTGGCAGTTCAAACCCACCCACTGCTCCTCGAAAGGAAGACTGGGCAATCTACTTCCATAGTGATATCACCTCGGAATCCCAAAGAGGGGTCACTATGAGTTGGAGCCGACTCAAGGGCAGTGAGTTTGGTTTTGGTTTTATGTTAACTTCACTTAAGGTTTTTGACTGCTAACCAGAAGACTGACAGTTCAAACCCACCAGCCACTCCTCAAAAGGAAGACTGGGCAATCTACTACCATAGAGATACTGCCTCAGAAACCCAAGGAGGGGTTGCTATGAGTCAGAACCAAATCAACGGCAGTGAGTTTTTAGTTTTATGCTAAATATCCACATAATCCATGAACAATCTACTTGTACTTTTTAAAAGCAGTATTAATATTTTAATATTACCCACATCACAACAATAGTAGATTATTTTTTTTCTTTTCGCCTGTGGAAGAAAGAGAATACAAGTATCTTTTATTGAAGAATACCAAGGATTTAAACTATAAAAAATACAAGATGATGACTCCACCTTACAGGACGCCACATGAGCAGATATGACAGAGAGAATGTACACTCTACTACAGCCCCTTGACATTGACAAGGAACTGATTTATATGGAGATTTTTTAAGTTCCCAAAGTATAAAATCCACAACAGCATATACTTTTCCCTATAAAATGAAGTCAAGTTCCCTTGCAAAATTTTATTACCATCTTGAGACCACTATGATTTTTAAAATACTGGCCTACATGATTTATAAAATTATTCAAAGAAACTGCCACTAAAATAAACATTACAATTTACACATCAGTATTGTGGTCACATCAGCCATGAAACACGCCTGAAGCCAAGACAACAAGTGGTGGCGATCGCTGCTGCACAGACCATGTGCGACACGGATGGAGATGACACCCATAGGGCAGGCCAGAGTGAGGCTGCAGCGGTCAGAACTTGACTCCTGACAGGCTACTGGCACGGATCCTGGGAGGACACACAGGTGACAGATGTGGGAAAAAGAGCAGTTAGCTACACAGCAGAATGTGGAAGCAAAGTGGGGGAGGGCTCACTAGCTGCGGATCCCTTTGTGTGCACTGTGATTGCCAGTTTGTATCCATCCTCTGGACATCTTTATACATTGTTGGATAGTCTCTGAAAGCAGTTATTATTTGGATAAACTTAAAGCTCTGATCCAAAGCAGGGAAGGTGTTGATACCTCATGTAAAGAACCATCATCTCAACTAGACTATTCTAATGCATCAACATTGTCTGTTCCACCACTTTTCTACAGACTTTGCTAGGTCTCTCTGACCTTCAATGAGCAATCCTTCATTACCTTAACCACATGCTCAAAACCTCCATCACCCACTTACCAAGCAACATTTATAAATGCACTTCACTTTATTATCAGTGGAAGGAATTCTCTTGAAGTCACTCTTTGCCTCTTTCCCTACTAAGGCTTTCGAGCAGTCAGAAATGTTACACTTCTTATAATATCAGCTGACATCAAATTTGGAAGCTTCATACAAAGCATTTACAGTAAGAATGAACACATTCTACACCCTCAAACCAAAAACCAAACTCACTGCTATCGAGTCAATTCCAACTCATAGCAACCCCAATTGGGTTTCCAAGGAAGTAAATCTTTATGGTAGCAGACTGCCCTGTGTTCCTTCTGTGGAGCAGGTGGTGGGTTTGAACCACCAGCCTTCTGGCTAGCAATCCAAAACAAATTTATAAATCAAATTCAAAAGCACAAACCAATACAATTTGAATTACCATTCATAATATGAATGTTGCTAAATATCTGATATGAAATTACCAATGTTTGGCCTAGCAGCAGAAAATCGTATTTTAATGTTTTATATTTTTTCAACTTTATTCTTTGACTTTAAGCATGAATGAACATCATGGGGGGCCACTAATCTATTATTTTAATGAACCAGTACATTTGACAGTGCAGTCCCCAAACACAGCATACTACAATATGAAATATAATCAGGTCCGACTCAACGGCATGTAACAACAACAAGATATACACATACATATGTGTGTGTGTGTGTGTGTGTGTGTGTATGCATACATACTTAACAAAAATCATCCACTGCATATTTACAAGTGTATTTCATACCAAGCTACCTGTAAATTAACTACAAGACAGATATTTGTATGCTAACTGGACTATTATAGCAGCACAGAACTCTATCTCAATTCTGTTTTTATTCCTGTCCTCCAACAATCTAAGTGCTCTATTTTAAAGCTCAATTAGCAAAATAAGCAAATCCACAGAGAGTGAAGTAGACTGATGGTTGCCATAGGTGGGGACATGGAATGATGACTGCTAACAGGGATGGGGTTTCTTGTTAGGGTGATAAAAATGTTCTGGAATAGATAGTGGTGAGGCACAACTTTGTGAACATATTGGATACCACTAACTCTATATTTTAAAAGGATAAATTTCATTGTATATAAATTCCAAACCAAAACCAAACTCAATGCCGTCAAGTTGGATCTGACTCATAGCAAATTTCATTGTACATAAATAAATTGTAAGTCTATTTTTTAAAGAATAAAGAAAAAGCATGAGCACCTAGGTTCCAAACTTTTTCATACATCAATTTTAATTGCCAGTCACTCATTTTCCTGTAAATATCCTCATGCTTCAAGTTAACTACTTTCCAAATGTCACTACAGTTTTACTTCCCATTTCAGAAGTAGATTTTATGCTAATTGAAACATTTACTGAAAACAGTTTGAAGTATTACTTTTTCCTATTTCCTAGATAAGAGATGAAAAACAGGTTCTTTTCATTGATCTGAGTCACCATGAAATTCACTTTGCTACAATTAAAATTTATCCTCAAATCCAAATTTAGGGCTCTTTATTAGGCCTCTTCACTTCCCATCACTTTTATCATTAGCACCAGTAGGTCGGTTTCTATTAAAGGTCATGTTTTACAAAGAAACAATCACGTCACAGAGTTATCTGTCTGTGATGACAATTAGATAACAAAGGTTATGTGGATTGTGGAACCTGGGAAAATGGCTACATTCACTCAGTATCTTAGTGACTAACTCCTAAAACATCAAACACACAAGTTGAATTCATGTCCTGCCCACATGGTATCACAGGTCTTCAGAGTCATTTGCAAGTAGCTGAAATTGTGAATAATAAGCTCACAACCATCAACAGCCTCCAGTAACTTTACGTGGTAAGCTTTCTATAAGTGGTAACAACAAACAGCAATGAGAACACAAATGAGGAATTGATTGATTTTGCTGAGAAGGGTTTGGGCACGTATACAACATGTAAGTCAGGCCTTAAAAGATAACTAGAATTTTACTAGCTGAGGAAAGGGCGTATCAAGCAATGTGGACAGAATAAAGGTGAAAAGTTTAAGTGCATGGAGTATCTTGACATTGGCAAAAGGTCTGAATACTGAAGTGGGGAGAATCTAGAACTAGAGGAAGGAAAACAGCAGAAGCTTGCAGGAGCAGTTTCCTCACTGCAATTTAAATCATCAGTGAGAAAATCTTTTTCAATCTCCAACTCTTACAATTTTTCACATATAACTAAGCTTTTAGGTAGTATTTTGTTTTCCTGGTAACTTACTACACTTTTCAAAAATGTCCTGGGTTTAAAGAATCATAATCTGAACTTGATTATAATATGTGCTTTTTATTTTCAATTTTGTATTATATAGCAGGATTTGGCTGAGTAAATTACTCCAATATTAAGACTTAAAAAAAACAACCAAACTAACTGCCACTGAGTGGGTTATGACTCACAGCAACCTAATAGAACAGAGTAGAACTGCCCCATAGGGTTTCCAGGGCTTAAATCTTTACAAAAGCAGAAAGCAGACTGCTACATTTTTCTTCCCAGGGAGCAGGTGGTGGGTTCAAACTGCTAACTTTTTGGCTGGCACCCAAGCACTTTAACCACTGGATCACCAGGGCTCTTTTAATATTAGGAGTAAAACCTATATTGATTATACCAAAAACATAAGTTTTAAAATTAAACTACTTTAATCTTAAGCTGAATTCCTTTTATTTCTACTTTTTGAAAAAAGTTCCGTTTTCAATATAACCTAATCAAACTAATTCCAAATGGTCTACTTCAATTAAATGTACCGAATATACATTTAATTCAGAGATCAGAGCATTATTTCAAATTTTTACAGATCACTTTAAGTCTTCTATTCATCTTGATAATGTGTTATATTAAAAAAAAAAGTTAAGATTTTGAATGATGTATGCTGTAAAAGTAAAGAGTTCATTCTTCTAAGATAAACCTGAGGCTAATAAATAACTTCATTAATAAGCTAATTAATAAAAAACACAAAAAACCAAACCCACTGTCCAGGAGTCAATTTCAACTAGTTAATAATTCATTAATAAGATGGCCTTAGTTTGAAAGGAGGAGAAAGCACACAACAGGAACGGGAACTAACTCTCTCCACGGAACGGGAACTAACTCTCTCCAGGGACAGTAGTCTTCCCGTGTGCGTTGGTCACACAGCCAGAAAAGTGTCTGCCCCTTGATAAACATCTAGGTAAAAGGAAATTGATTAAAATAAAAAAAAAGTCTCCCTTTACTACTTCTAAAAATGCCCCTTTGAGGACTTATCTCTAAAATTTACAGAAAACTTCAACACCTCAACACCAAAAAGACAATCCAATTCAGAAAATGTACAGAGGACATGAACAGACACTTCACCAAAGAAGGTATTTAGGCAGCCAACAAACACATCAAAAAATGTTCACATTCATTAACCACAAAAGAGATGCAAATCAAAACAACAATGAGATATCATCTCACCTAATAATAATAGCAAACTTTAATTAAAGACAGAAAACAAATGCCAGTGAGGGTGTGGAGAGATTGGAACTCTCATACACTGCTGCTGGGACTGTAAAATGCTACAACCACTGTGGAAAATGGTATAGTGCTTCCTTAAAAAGTAGGAAATAGAAATATTCTTTAACCCAGAAATCCCACCACTTGGTACATATCCTAAAGAAGTGAAAGTCAGGACATGAATTGATATATGCATAACCGTGTTCATCGCAGCACTATTCACAATAGCAAAGAAATGGAAACAACCTGCCTATCAACAGATGAATGGATAACCGAACTATGGTACATATACACAATGGAAATACCATGCAACATTAGGAATAATGAAGAATCTACAGAACCCCTCATAATATGGACGAGCTTGGAGGACATTAGGCTGAATGAAATAAGTCAATCACAGAAGGACAAATATTATATGAGTCCACTATCACAAAAAGTCAAGGGAAGGTTTTACACACAGAAGGAAATTTTCTTTGCTAGTTACTAAGGATGGGAGGGGAGAAGAGGGAAAATTGTTAGCAAAGTAAGACACATGTGTTGACTTGGGTGAGAAAGGAAAGGCAATATACCAAAAGAGGGTGAGCCGCACAATATCACTAAGGAAAAGGAAGACACAGAGAAGTACACAAGAGGTGCAAACAACAAAGGTAAATGCTATTACATACACAATTCTGCATTATCCGTAATAACAAACATTAATCTATGGGTGGATACATAGGTAGACAGGCAAGGTGATCAAGTATGGGTAGACTAACAGGAATATACCCATGACCATTTACAGATTTGGCAGATGGTATTTCTACATATATATTAGTATGTGCTGTAAAAATGTCCATACATATAATAGAGTTAACAAGGAACAAAGTTAGGATAACTTCTTAGCCACACCAAATATCTTGAGGTAGTAAGTTGCTGGTTCTGTGGGCTCAGACCATGGTCGCAGGGGACATTAAGCTAAACTGGCATAATACTGTACACAAAAACATTGTTCTACATTCTACTTTGGTAAGTAGCAACTGGGGTCTTAAAAGCTTACGAGCAGCCATCTAAGATGCAGTCATTTGTCTCTCCTCATCTGGAGCAAAGAAAAGTGAAAAAAATCAAAGACATATGCAAATAATTAGTCCAAGGGACTAGTGGATCATGGGAACCTCAGTGTACATGACCCTGAGACGAGAAGAACTAGATGAGCCCCAGCCACCACTGCCAACCACTCAGAAAGGGATCAAAATTAGAGACCCTGGATGGAAGAGGAGAAAAATGTGGAACAAAACTCAAAATCATTAAAAAAAAAAAAACAGGTTGGCTGGTCTCACAGAGACTGGTGAAACCCTCGAGACTATGGCCTCTAGTTGTCCTTTAGGCCAGGAATTAACTCACTCCCATGGCTTAACTTTCAGTCAAACAACAGACAGGTCTACGAGGTGAATAATTATACAGGGAGCTGTGCTCCTTAGAACCACCAACTATGAGAAATCAGAAGGGCAGCATTTGCACAGACAGAAAGCTCAAAAGGCAAGAATGCACAGGAAAGAAGGACACAGGGAAAAGGCAACCATAGGGAGGAAGGAGGAAGAGAGCTGTGCCAATGAGGGGATTGCCAGCAATGTCACAAAACAAAAATGTTCATGAACTGCTGAATGGAAAACGAATATGCTCTATAAATGTTCACCCAAATCACAATAAAAAATTAAAAAATAAAAGTGTCCCTTTGGTTATCTGCATTTGGAAATTCCCCTAAAACAGTTACTGAAGAAAGATCTAGTGGCACTTTTGAACATACTTACAGATACTGGAAGTGGTTAAAAGCACCTCTAATTTTACTTGTCATAAAGATGAATAAATCATAGAACACCAAAGGAAATTCTTAACCACTTATAATTTCAACTATAAATAACAAATGACAAAATAGGGACAATCAGATCTCTTCAGTTAAAATTTGGCCCTACAGGCCTTCCCTTGCTATGTTCCACTCCTTTCACTTCCCAGCCTAGAGGAGTCAGAGGCAGACCATCATGGGACTCTGGAGGCCAAGGGCATCTAGCCTGGTAACACCCAAGGAGGTGCTTATGGGTGAGGAAGTACAAAGGTAGTGGGTAGAGAAGACAGCAAACATGGTTGGGAGACAGTTTCCATTGATCAAAGAAGTAAAATGATGAGGGAAATGACTATGTTGGTGGCCTGGCAGAACAGCCAAGGTATATGAGGCACTGAGCTAAGTGTGGCATGCCACAGGACTTGGCAAACTTTTTTAATAAAAGGTCAGATGGTAAATCTTTTAGGCTTTGTAGGCCATATACGTCTCCGTCACATTTTCTTCTCTGTTTATTTTAAAAATGTAAAAAACAGTCTCAGCTGAAGGGCCTTACGAAAATAGGATGAAGACCAGATTTGGCCCACATGCTGTACTTTGCCATCACTGATGTAAAATATAAAGATGAAAACAATTCGATCAGTAAGGAAACTGTAGTAGTTAAGGTTATGTGTCAACTTGGCTGGGCCTGGTTTTGAGTGGCTGGGCAGCTGGATATAGTTATTTCCCATGGTGAGCTTGGTAATTACCTCCATGGTGGAATCCAACGGAGCAGCTAAGTAGCTACTTTAGTGATGCGGTCTGCTTCCAGTATGTAAGGAGAAGTTTCAAAAAGGTCTCTGCAGCTTTTTGGCACGCCTGAACCCTGCATGTAGCCGAGTCTTCGTTTAGCAGGCTGCTATGCTTCCTGCTGATGTGGGACTGTCTCTGGACTTGAATTAGTAGCTTGCTGTGTCATTTGGTAATATTGGGACTGTGCCATTTTATTTGTTGACCTTGGGCTTATTAGCCTCAGCAGCCAGCAGCTGCCTGAGTGAAGAGACATCTCTAGCTCCAGTGGGACAGGAGCAAGAGAAAAAGGACAGACCTGAAGCCCAAGGTCAAGGAGCTTTCACCCAGCCCCTAAGAACTTGGCACTTTGAACTCAGACTTCTAGCCTCCAAAATTGTAAGAGTATAAATCCCTGTTTGTTAATACCACCCGTTTGTGGTAGGTATTTCTGTTAGAGCAGTATGAAATAACCAAAAAAAAATGGTCTATCTTATATGCAAATGTATGTAAACAAAAGTTATCAATACACATTGAATACAAAGATACTCACTGTGTTTTCCCCACATAATGCACCCATGTAAACAACTCACACATGCATATAACACACACAGCACACACAGGAAACTAATAAACAAAGGGGTGCATAGTTGGCAAAAAACCACATAACTGCACATATTACTTGCATAAAAATATGGTATCTTGAATACAATTATATATGAGGAAAAAAACTGCTAGATTTACAAATAACACAAGAAAAATGACATTAAAAATAAAATTATTTAAGATTACATACTCTGGTGTGTACACTGGTAACCAATAGACTAGTCTTCCACCTAATACGAGGGTCTCAGCAGCAAAGTTTAATAGATCAAAAAACATATCACTCAGATGATAGCTCAAGGAAACAGGAACATGACTTTCCGGACTAAAGAGAGAACACAGAAATTAAAAATCAGTGAAAAGTGTTAAGACTGTTAACTAAAAAGAAGCAAAATGCTTCCTGTCAAAATAGTTAACTCTTCATATTTAAACTTCAGACTTACCATTTTTCTATTCCCTTTGGTATTTCCTTCTGTGAGCCTGTTCTTCTTGTAGATTCTCTGACACCATAAGGAGCTAGACAGAAAATGGAGGTAACGTGGATAGTCAAATGTCAGCTAACCACCAATGAGGGGCAGTAAGATATCACATGCCTCCAGATACGACACCTGAGAAGGATACATCATCCAGGCACCATCAGAGCTGGGGAGGAAGAACATGGAGCACACTCTAGTCTTAAAAAAAGGGATGAACTATGTTTTTCAAAACTGTCAATGTCATAAAAGATAAAAAAGGCTGTGGAAGTATTAAAAATTAAAGGATGCCTAAAAGATATGATTACTAAATGCAGAATGTGACCCTAGACTAGATCCTGTAGTAGAAGGGGAAAATATGCTATAAAGGATATTACTGGTTAACTGATAAAACCAGATGACAGTCTATAAAGTATTGTACTGATTTACCAAAATTGGTAACTGTACTTTGGCTATCTAAGAGATGATCCCTATCCTTAGGAAACACAATAAATAGAACTTACTCTCAAATCCTAAATTACTCAATTAAATTACTGCCCTACATTCATAAGTTTTTCCTTCTTACTACATGAAAAAGTTGGGGACAGGAGGAATACTAGTACAAGATGGCATTTGTGTGTGGGTGCTGATTAATTTTGTACCTTAATAACTTTAGGAAACTAATACTACTCATACTTTGGTATAAAATTAAACTTACGATCAGTAATGATTGCATCAAAATACGTGCCCTTCCTCCAGGAAGGTTTAGATGCATCGGAAACCAAGACATCAAGGTAATACTTCTCTAAACCATACTGACGAAGATTTGCCCTAATATTTTCATCTGGTCCTCTCCATCTCTGGTTTTTCCTACTAGCCTTTCCTGGAGGAAAAGAAAAAGGAAGACAGAAAGTACTAGATTAAGCAAAACATTCTCATTTCCTGTCGTTTAGCTAAGAGTAATAATTTAATTTATCTAAACCTATATTTACTCAAATAAAATTTGCTTTTATTTGAAGTTTCAATTTCACTTACATAAATAGACAATTAAGGAGCACTGGTAATGCAGTGGTTAAGGCATTTGGTTGCTAAGCAAAAGGTCAGTGATTTGAACCCTGCTCCACAGGAAAAAGATGAGGCAGTCTGCTTCTATAAAGTTTTACACCCTTGCAAACCCTATGGGGTTGCTGTGAATTAGAATCAACTCAATGGTAGTGAGTTTCGTTAGCAAATAGACAATTATTTTTATTTCAAAGTATTATAAAAATATGTTTTGCACAGTCAAATGTATTGATATCTGATCTGATTCCATGTTGTTTTGTCACCTTTCAAAGTACAATTGCCTTAAAGCTCTCATTCAGTACTTAGTACTTATTATAGTCCAGTAAAGTACAAAGTTGAACAGAACATGGATCCATTACTCCAAGAGCAAACAGTCCCATGTAGAAATAAGTGATGAAACAGATAAAGAGAAATAAAGGGAGCTAACTTGGGAGATGCTGTGGCTGTATTTCGTCCTTTAACCCTTTAACCTGGAGTCCATCAGGCAGCATTTGCTCTACGTTGTTGCTATTGTTAGTTGCCCTCAAGTCAGTTCTTACTCATGGCAGCCCCAAGTGTGCAGAGCAGAAGTGCTCTCCACTTCCAGGGTTTTCAAGGTTGGCCCTCTGGAGGCAGATCACCAGGCCTTACTTCCACGGCACCTCTGGGTGGGTCTGAGCCACCAACCTTTGGGTAGTGCTTAATCATCTGTGCCACCAGGACTCTTGTTTGCTCTAAAATCATCCTTCTATCTTCACACACTCTTCTGTATTATGATCTACTTCACAATAAAAACAAAATTTAAAAATCAAAAGAAAAATGACATCAGTGTATAACATGTATGTAATAGGAGGAGGGGTCCAAATACAGCTAGATGCCTGGAGAAAAGCAACATATATGCAGAGGTCAAAGCAAATTGCAGGGGCCTTGCAGAGAATGAGATGCAACAAACAATGAAACAGAAGAAGTGCCTGATGAGGCCACTGACTGGAAAACCAGAGAAGGTTCTGTGACAGTCAGCACAGCCAAATGCTGTAAATCTACAGTCTTCGTAAGGAATTTGAGAATGGTGGGCATGGACGCTGGAAGATAATGGGCAGAACAGTGAGAGATGAAGGAGACTGCAAGTAAATACTAATCTTTCAAGTGGTACTTGGATAACAAGGAGAAGAACACAAAGTGGCCTTACAGCACTGACAGAAAAAGTGTTTGAATTTTTAGAAGAAACTTGAGAATATTTTAGAGCACGGAAGATGTTAGAAGACAGGGGACAGAGGGTCTGCCTGCCAGCATATTGGCTGAGCTCTGAGGAAAATCTATGTCAAACAGAATTCTATCCAAGTGGACTGAAAGGTTAGGATATAACTTAAACATAACTTTAATAAATAGAAATTTAAATAAATTATATAGGACAACTTACTTTAAAGCAAACCTAATGCCTCTACTAATAGCCAGCTAGAGTAATTCTTAGCACACTGTCTACTCTCTAATATACTGCAGAGAAAGAATATCCTTTTTTGATTAGCTCATTTCTGTAAACTTGATAATATATAACTCATTTTTCTCATGATAAATATTACTAAATTCCTTACAGTTAAGAAGGAAAAAAGGTCATCAAGCACAACATATCAAATTACTTTAGCAAAAGAAAATAAACTATAATAAATTCTCAACAAAAAATAATTTATACTGGGTGAGAGAGAGGAAAAGAAATGTTTAGTTTAAGGGATGACTCAAGTTACAATAATGATCAGCAAAAGTACAAACAGTTTCAAAGTCATCAAGAAAAATAGCAATTTTTAATAGTGTTCAGCTATAAGGAAATACGTTTTTCAGTATGATTCAATTCTATTCCATCACATATCATTAGAGAAACTTCTACAGTGAAAATATTTGTCAAAAGTGCCTCAAAAGCCAAGTAGATCCTAGTCTGAGATAAGCCTCAATCTCAGGCAGAATCTACAAAGTTACCATCACTTTAAATATTCTAAAGATGCTTCGTTCAGTTATGAGATTAAAACACATATGGTACTTGAAAGACTCAAAATTACTCTAGGATTTGCACAATGTATAACTAATTACTGAACAAATGAATGTGGTATCTTTAAACACAAGCTGTGTATGTTTTACTAGGATGTTGTGTTGTTGTTATGCGCCATCGAGTCAAACCTGACTCATAGCGACCCCTCCTTGGGTTTCCTACGGAAGTAGGATTGCCCAATCTTCCTTCCGAGGAGTGGCTGGTGGGTTTGAACCGCCATCCATCTGGTTAGCAGGCAAGTGTCTTAGCCACTATGCTACCAGAGCTCCCTTTACTAGGATAGACATCCTGATTATCAAAATGGCTAGTTCTTTTCTTTTACCTCTTCTCTCCCAACATGAAATGAAATGTGTCTATAACCTTAAATGGAGTGTGCCCACATTTTTAATTCTCTTACTAAGACTGCAAATACCTCTAAGGAGGAGGGCTTTAGTTCATTGATCTTTTGTCTTCTCTAGGCCATTGATCATTTTGCATGCACTGGACTGCTTTGTAAAAAGTACATACTCAGTGAAGTCGTAATGTTGTAAAAATAAATAAAATTATATTACCACTTTGTATTTTAACATTAAAAATAGATGTATAATACCATATAAAACTACTTTATTATCTTAATGGCACATTGGTACAAGAGTGAAGACTGTAATACAGGAACAGGCACTCACCCAAGCCATGAACTGTGTTGTAGTCTATGTCTGTCCCATATACATATGCACCAAAATGAGCAGATGCTATCAGCAAGCCACCTAGAAGATCACACAAGTATTATCCATTACCAGAAAATCTCACTCTTATTTTATCCCTGCTTAATCTGATCCAGAATCTTAAAAACTAGCTGCAGGCAGAGTACCCTGGAATGACACTGGGCCTGGCCACATTTAACAGGTCTCAGAAGTGAAAAGACAGATACCTAATTTGTGATCACTGAAATGGTCACAAAGCAGGGAATTAATGCATGCCCTGGCATTAATACTTTAAAGTGTACTATCTTTTTTGGTCAAAATAATATACATTGATACGTTTTTATTTTATTTAGAAAGGTCAATACAAAAGCACCTTGCTCCTTACAAACAAGCACATAAGCTGCTGTACACACAACTGGCAATAAACAAACTGACAACTGGGCTCAACTCTCACTGAAGTTGGGGCTCAAATAAGGAAAGTATGATTAATATGCGAGACATTAATTTTCATAAAAATTAGGACAAGATCTACTTCTCCTGTAATCAGTCAAATAATTGTCCCTCCTTTTATAACTGTAACTATCGATTGCAGAATAACTATCACAAACATGGGCAAAAATAATTAATGTAACTACTGTTCTGTTTTATTTAGTTCTGTGGCCAAAGTAAGAATAAATGTCTTAATATAATTTAAGTTAGTTATTTGGCAGATGTGACCACTCACATATGAAAAAAAAAGCCCTAATAAACATTAAAAAATAATAATGAATCCCTAAAATAAAATGTCCTATTTTTCAAGTTTTTAAGAAAATCTTCATAAAATTAAACAAATTTTTTAAAATTATACTTTTTATAGAATTTTAGCTTTTAATCATCATAAAAAGATTTTAACATTTTAACATCATAAAATTTCTCAATGTTTGGGCAGGTCTTAATAGTTATACAGCAGAAATATCTGTCAGCCAAACTGAAATCAGAAATATATTCTTGGACTATAAAATACATATTGAAGGGAAAAAAAGTGGGCCTCTTTCTCTTACATCCTTCCCAAATGTGAGCTCTTAAGTTAAGATGGGTAGCGCCCCCCAAGGGTCAAGATCTATAGATTAATGGCGTGCCTTCCATAGCCATGTGGGAGCTCTGGTAGCATAGTGGCTAAGACACTTGCCTGCTGACCAGACGGCTGGTGGTTCAAACCCACCAGCCACTCCTCGGAAGGAAGGTTGAGCAATCCTACTTCCATAGTGATACTGCCTCGGAAACCCAAGGAGGGGTCACTATGAGTTGGGGCCAACTCGACGGCACATAACATAACATAACCATAGCCATGTAAAACAGAGTGTGGTAACTTGTATTTAAAACTACTTTACTCATGAACAATACTGCAGTTGGCTGCTTCCTACTGAAGAAGGGAAACGGAGGACGGAGAGCACAGCAGAAACCAAAACCTAGGTCCCCTCACGCCAACGATAAAAGCCATTTGTGTGAAAGGTAGGGTGAATAAGGCCTCACAAATCTTACTTTATAAGCGGAATGGTCCATGTTTGGGATAGGTGTGTGATGACTTGGAATATTCACAAAGTCACTTCACCCAAATTATGAGGAATTACTACAATTCTGCCAATTTGGGCAGATACTCACCTAGAAGAGCTAGTTGTCAAGGGGAACACAAAAGCTTTCCTGTGCTTCCTTAAACAGAACCTTATCCATTTGGTTAGAGTGAGTTTTGAGAAGACCCAATTTATCAGTACACTGCTGAAAGGAGATGAATAATCTGTTAGACTGCATCTGTTAATTTTTGGTTGTTTTAAGCTTTTAATTAAAAAAATAAAATCATAATAAATTAGCTACTCTGAACTAGTCACTGGGCAATGAATGTTAATCATCTAGTTATTTTTCAATTAAAATGAAGCACTTTTTGCATGTAGTTATACCTCAGCTGGAGTTTTCTTGAAAATGTTTTGGTTGAGGAAAGGTACAAAAAAGGAGGGGTGAAGTGCTGAGGGGGGCAGGTAGCATGACTCACTAATCTCTTATTATGCTGATAAATGTAAGACTACTACATATGTGATCTAGACAAGCAAACTCTTTTAATTTCTCATTACTTAAATAGCAACCACTTTAGATTTAAGGGTAATATCCTCTAGGTAAATAATACAATAGTAAATGGATGTTTTTTAATGATATATATCCTATGCAGAAACAAATTCACAATTTTCATCTTTAGAGATTTAAGTGAAAATCTTCACGTATGTGTGGAAATGAGAGGCTGGGCTTTGGTTTTGCTGAAGGAAAGAGGGAAAAAAAGAGGAAGAATACTATTAATAACTCTACTTTATCCATTTTTCAAAAAGAGCCCTAATTGAAAACTTTAAACTAGCAGCTTGAGCAAAAGAATAATGCTAGAAAATAGCAATGTTACTAGACAAACCATGGGGATGGGAAGAAGGGGATTACAAAGAGTTGGGGACGAAGTAGAAAATATCACACAGATCTACAGATGTCCACTATCTCATGCTCTTCACTGTCTCTTTTCCTTCTCATAGTCTCCTCCCAGACTTAGGACAGTCAGCTTCCCAACACCTGGTTCCTGTGCCTATCTACTCTATAATGATACAATCTCAAAAGGAGCCACATTCCTTTTCTTACACCTATGTGAAGGCACAAGAAGCCAAAGAGATATATTAGTTTCCTGAGCACATCCTGAATTACCAGAGAAGCTGGCTCACTTGAGAGAAGGAAAGAGGAGAAGAAATCAGAGCTATGACTGCAGCGTTCTGTTATAAAATCACAGAGCCCTACAATATTCAGCAGACACTTGAACCAACTATTTTAGAGAATTACACGTCTACAATTTTAAGCCTTAATTTCTCCTTGTCTGCTGCTATAATTTGCCAACAGTTGCAAATTAAATACATACATATATACATACACACATGAGCACACACACACATACATATATATGCACATATACACACACATATACACACCCTGGATATTAGGTACAGAGGGGAACAGAAAATGAGTTCCTGGCCCAACTTTTTGTCACTATCCAATATAAACTATCTAACATCTTTCATCAAAAACTCATCTAAGTTCTTAACAAAATAATAATTAAAAAATAATGGTCACCCTTGCAGTTTATTGTCTACTATGTGTCAGCAACTTTCTAGAAATATTATATATACACTATCTCATTTAATCCTCACACTATATTACTATTCCCATTTTACAAATAATGGAACCAAGGCCCAGACAAGTCAAGAATCTTGCCCTAAGTCCCACTGCAACTAGCAGAGTAAGGATTTAAAACCTCATTCAATCTGTTCTTTTCTCTCTACCATATTACCTTTTTTGAGGTCAACCCCTATTGGAGCAAATATACATGAGTTTACCAATTATATAAACAAAAGCAAAATTTGTTAGTAAGTTAAATTAAGTAACAGTGCACACTCAGTTAACATGAGTTGTACACTGTTTCCAGTCTTGTGCCATATCACAGGCAGGGCTGTGCCATTACAGGCATTCAATATACTTATGCTTTGATTATAATAGACTATGCTCTGACCCTTCAGACACGACCACATTACAACAGCTGCTGTTGGCTGTGGACCAGAACTGCTCTAGAGCAGAACTGTCCACAGGGTTTTTATAATAGACTGTGCTCTGACCAATCCTTCAGACACGACCACATTACAACAGCTGCTGTTGGCTGTGGACCGGAACTGCTCTAGAGCAGAACTGTCCACAGGGTTTTTATAATAGACTGTGCTCTGACCAATCCTTCAGACACGACCGCATTACAACAGCTGCTGTTGGCTGTGGACCGGAACTGCTCTAGAGCAGAACTGTCCACAGGGTTTTCCAGGCTATGACCTTCCAGGAGCAGATCACCAGGCTCATCTTCCGAGGATTCTCTGGGTGGGTCTGAACCTCCCACCTTTTGGCGACTAGTTGAGGGCTTAACCACGTGTGTCACCGAGGGACTATAGTTAATTCCTATAACTGAAAGCAGACCAATGGTATAAATCACCCCCCACAGGAAAATGGAAATATACAACTTTAAAAAAAGCTTTACTGAAGTGAGAATCAATGAATTTGCAAAAACAGAAAGAATAGTAGTGTTTCTGCCACTCACAGTGTCTTTCTAGATAACAGCAGTAGACAGTCTGAAAGAACAGGTTTTTATGTAGAAAAAGACTGTATGTCTCTTTCAATTTCCTAAAACTTTCTACCACTCTATAACTCTGAGAAAATCACAGGTAACAAGCAGTCAGAGGGTAATACATTTGGGAAAAGACATACATTTCAATTTTACCTTTAAAATGTAAATTATATATACTTAAATTAAAAAACAAAGAAAGAGAAGGAAAAAATACTATCTAATACATTGTGAAAAAACATGGCTATGGTGGAAAGCACAGGGCTACTTATTTCTCCAGTCCTTTAGAAGGTACTACACACTTCGCAGGCAAAAGGTCCAGGAGAGAACAAATTGTGCTTAGGAACTGTGTTTACTCACAATTATTGGCTATTACCAGGTCTAAAACCAAAGCACCGGAAACTGGCTAAAACTATGCTTAAACCACAAATATAAATTACGAAAATGTATTTTAGCAACATCTTGGCAAAGATCTTTGCCACATTTTTCATTTATTGTCCTACATGAAGAATCAAATGATTGAATAAGCTCCCGTTTATAAGGAGCTACTCTGAAATAAATTAGGACAAGTCTTCTTGCTCCTCACCACACTAAGACTGCTGTGGAAGTTACCATTTCAGAATAAACGTGGCCTCATCTGTGTCAAGGGAAGGAAATTTAACCTGTACTAAAATACTATGTTAAGTATTTATATGCACTTTCTTCCACTTAATACCGTGGAAGAAAGTGCATATAAATATAAATGAGGATAGGCAAGAAAGAACCCTGTGGAAATGGCCTGGAATCTGTATTATAGATGAAAAGCCAAGACTTCTAAAGTATGTACATGTATATGCATGTCTACACGAATACATACACTTGTGTATATAGGAATAAGTGCATGTGTATGTGCATAGACATA